AAGAGGCAGGAAAAGGAAGGAGCAACAGGGTTGGTGTAAAGTTTGCTCGTGCAAGGAGAGAACTAGAAGTTCAAATAGTACTCTTGTAAATGAGCGGTTTTTCAAAAGGTAAAATTTACTCATAACTCACTCTAGAAGCCTCATTGCAACACTGCAGGATAGAGAAAGGGTAATAACGTTCAATTCTGATCAGATGACAGAACCTCCGCTCCGAAATTCAATGGAGAAAGTTTAGTTGAACGCGAGGCTTACCGTAAGCTAACTGGTTGCCCTCCCCCATCCACCCTCCCCCCTCCTCCTCAACCAAGGTACTGCAATGGTGTGGATGGACTGTACCGTAAGAGTTGAACGGAAAAAATTTGGGAGAGGAGAGGTAACGCAGGGCACTTCGTTGTTGGGGATTCCCCAACAGGGGGTGCTTGCTGGAAAGGGGGGTCGTAACTGGTGTGAGAAAAGATTTTTTGACAGTTGATTTTTTTGCTTCAGGAAGAAGGGAAGAAGGGGGTCGTATTTGTTCGTTTTTGGGAGGGGGGTCGTATCTGCGTCTTCTGATCCTTTGAAAGTCTAGGGGAGGTTGTTGATTTTTCGTGGGTTTTCCTGTTTCATATGTGCTATACATATGCCCCCACCCCACAAATTTTTGGGAAAAAGTAGGAAAACTTTTGGGAAATTCCGGAAAAAGTGGTAAGAAGTTGGAAAAGTCGAGGAAGGTAGTAGGTAGAATGAGGTCGTATTTACCTGCAGCTCGATGAGAAGAGATAGGGGGAGGGGTCCTACCAATCCCCTAGAAAAACAGGGGGGGGGGTTGTACTGATTCGACCGGAATTCCCAACTAATGATGTGTGCTGAGGTAACAAGCACAGCACCACCCTCCTCCCTCTTCCATTTTATCCCCTTTGGCCTACACATGTTTTTGCTGCAGACACTGAGGCGTCTCACTCAGGCCCCTGCACAACGAGGGCATTTACCCATTCCGACGGTTTAAATCAATCTCAGTGAAATAAAAAAGGCGATTCAAGGTGTTGGAAGGAGCTTCACTCATCTGCCTTGAGAGTATTTTCAAGGTAAAAGGGGGACGACGATTAAAAAAGTGTCAACGAGTTGAACGAGGAGTTGGCGGACACGGCAGTACAGGGGTGGCGAACGAAAATCGCCATCGATTCTTCGCCGCAATTCACAATTCGAGCGTTGTTGACGCATAGACGAACTCTGATTCCTGCCGAATGACTAGTCGGCTAGGCAAGACATTTCCCAGCAATATTTCATGACTATTCGGAAAGCGAGACCGACGACAGAGGGATTAAAAAGGGGCAGCCGTGGAGAATTGGAACCAACAAAAGTATCCTGCGGTCACCCCGCTGAACTGGCATTTATCGTCAGCGACACGATGCTGCTTATTGGCGGCAATTTGTGCAAAACATGACCCCCTCCCCTCGAAAGTTCCTCCATTGTTACTCTGCTACGACTCCCATCGCCACTCTATGAACCACCAATTTTCGCAGTTTCCGGTACTTTTTACAATTTTATCCCAATAAAAACTGCCGTCGAGGCAGGGAGGTTATTGCTTGCGAGACGTCAAAAAAATAACAAAAAATGGAAGCAGCCGAAAACATTTTTCTCAACTCCGGAAATTTTTCTGCAAAGATCAATTACGACCCCCCTCCCCCTCCCTGCAAAACGCCAACATACAAGCGCCCTCTCCGGGAAATCCTCCACGTACGACGTGCCCTGATTCCCGTCGTATTCGAAATTGTGTCCGCACCCTGGACGGGGGCTAGTTCTCTGCAAGAGTATCTGAAAGCTGCCTGGTGACCTAGGAAATACCCTTCTTCATGAGGTTGAAGTGCACCCGTGGTAGGGCGCAACCCCGCCCAAACGCAGCGAATGTCGTTTTTTCCTGGGCCTCTTTTACGCATATTGTTATTCATTATTAACGTCATGATTTATACTCGACAAAGAATTCTTGGAGAACTGTGCCGGAAAGAAGACAAAAATATGCAAAAAAACATAACAAGTAGTTGCTATATTCATGGTTTTACTGCGGATAATGGGCGTCTCAAGGGAACGGGATTTGCGTGTCGTTAGCCTTTTTTCTTTTTCTTTTCGGCAGGCGACAAGGCGGTATCATATCGGTCGTATCAGTTATTTCCCAAGAGCTGTTCTCGCTTACCGGCTTCAGCGATTGGTGGAGAATGGGCTGAAGCCACCTCGACACGCCCCTTCATCCTCCGCGAACAACACTGCAGATCCCTCTCAACAAACGATGTTGGTGAAGGAATCCAATGATAATTATCCCACACCAAAGAGGTTTAGAGTTCAGTCATTCCGGGAGGATTTCGATCTGGACATGATCCAAGACCGTGTGAATGACTGCAATGCCGCTCTCGTCTGCCTCCTTCCCACCTCCGATTCTATCCCCTCAGATCCCACGGTGTTCCAATAATTCTTTCAGACACGTATTGCCTTAGACTGCGGGGTTCCCGTAAAAAACCACGGCAGGGAGGTGATGTAAAGCTAGCAAGGATCTAAACATCCCACTAGTGCGACCCCCTTAGTACAGTTCCTTTAATTTCTAAATAGGTGGTCAAGCCTCTAGCAGACAAGCCTTTACGTACGAGAAAGGAGCGATGTTATTGAAATGCAGTGATGAATGAGTTGTTACAAATACCGGTTCTGGAGAGAATGTTGACGATATGTGTGGGTAAATGAACCAGCAAGTAGTTGCACTTAGGCCAATACGCTATTTCCATCATCATACTCTTGCCCTTCTGCTCCGAATTTCAAGGACAATTAGCCCAAATACGGGCGCAGTTCAGCGACGGGGGAGGGGGTATTTCGCAATTTTCCTACTTCCCATCTACGTGTGGAGCCATCAAGTGAAGACCTGGGAAATCTTGTATAGCCACGTAATGGCCGGCCAAAGTTTTGTCAACACCTGTCAACGCACCCTGTCAATACTTGTAAAGAGTAACTGTCAAATCTTGTAGCAAGCACCGATAGTGTTGGACTCAACTCGTTTGTCCAGCTTCACGCAGAGTTCACAAGTGTCACAAGCATGAGACTTCTGTAAAACCAGCGAACTATGTAAATAGGAGAAAAATTGCGCCAAGATGCACTTTCCCCCTAGGAGAAATTGCAAGATGCACCTTCCCCCTCTTCGTCGGCCAACAGCGCCCAAGTATGACCCCAGATTCATTCGTGCCCGTGAGCTTATATCAAGAAGAAAACTGATTTTTTTCCTTGAATACGCTAAAAGTTCATCAACTACACGGCTTAAAGAGAGCTTTCGAATGCATCTGCAGTGACTCACCTGGGCTATCGCGTGAGTAAAAGATTCCCAAACGAATAATGCAAACAGTAGAGCCTGGAGAGCGGTCATTCTAGATCACAGGGATTCAAAGAAGTGATATTTGCTGACAGAGTGACCACGAAGTGAAGAACTCTGATAAAAGCAGACTCCTGAGACGGGGAAAATAAATGCCAACTGCTCGCACGTTCATTACATCTCGTTGGCCGCCAATCAAATCGATGACATTGAGGTCGTTTATCAACTACGGCGCCTGAAAGAAAGAAAACAAACTCGGATTCTCACCCTGTTTTTCCGGTTTCCTACTGATGGTGACTCGTATGCAGCTACATATGTGACAGCGGCCTTGTTTATTTTTTTATTATTTGTTTATATCTATTTACAGGTCTCAGAATAGCACACAAACACACACACCGCCATTCCAAAAAGGGGATTATCTATTCTTATTTTTTTTTAGACGGCTGTCTTCTTATTGTCTTTTGTCTTGTTATTTACAGTGGCTGAACACCATTTGGATAACACAGCAGGTAGGTCCACTGGACTGAATTAATGACCGCTTAGGAAGCTGAAGGTGTGTAGCCCGTCATGCCCGCGTTTCACAGCTTGGTAAAAGTTCGCAGGCTGTTCAGTGGAGATGAGGTTTCTGAAGATTCTAGTAGTTACAACCGTGCTCTTCGACCCTCAATGGAGCCCCTTCTCCGGTGTCTTTGATAGGGATGGAATAAGATTTTGCATGGATTATGAACCCGCTGAAATCCATCCCGAGCGGGCTCCGAGCTATGAATCCCCTTTGTAAGGGCTGTAAGTTTCAGGGGATACCAAGGATGGAAACGACGTTGAGTGAGTCTCCAAAGGCCGCTGAGATGCTCCTTTGCGTGCTCCTTCGACCCTCAATAAAGCCCCTTCTCCGTGTATTCGATAGGGATGGAATAAGATTTTGCTTGGGCACTGAACCCCGCTGAAGATCTTTAAAACACACTGGCTCTCGCGATCGATGAGATCGCCTATCGCAGGGGTTCTGAACCCCGCTGAAATCCATCCCGAGCGGGCTCCGAGCCCTTTCGTAAGGGCTATGAAATCAGGAGCTGAGACGTCGGTTGAGTGGAAAGATGTTGAGAGGGTGGGGGAGTCTCCGAATGGCTGAGATGCTCCTTTGCGTGCTCTTCGACCCTCAATAAAGCCCCTTCTCCGGTGTATTCGATAGGGATGGAATAAGATTTTGCTTGGGCACTGAACCCCGCTGAGATCTTTCCGCACTGGCTCTCGCGATCGATGAAATCGCCTATCGCAGGGGTCCCGCTGAAATCAATATCTATCCAAACTTGCTACCAAATAGTATTTTGCTCTTCTCAAGAGTTCCTTCTGTACAAGTGACTTCCTATCATAATACACGATTTTTATAACTTTCAATCTAGTGTACGCTCATTGAGAAAAAAAAAAACAGTTTATTCGAAATCCTAGTCAGGGATTTATTGCAAAAATTTCATGTTCAACATTACATACATAAAACGCCTGGAAAACCTCAACTCAAATGTCTAAAAAATGAACATCATCCTGATGTCGTCGACGTTTTTCAGCGAGATGACGGTGTGCCCTCAATACTGCCAGAGCTCTTCTCATTCGACTGCTTTTCAGCGCGTAAACTTTCTTGCATTGTGCCGCTACCCGTAGAGCTTTCTCCTTTTTCTCGCTCTCAGTTATCGCCCCGTAATTCATCAATTTTGGCGGAGAGCTCTTCGTTGGTAGCTCCGCTGTCCCTCATCTGCTTGATCTTGGCAACGTTCTCATCACCGATGTACTCTTTGATGTAGTGCTTGCAAGCGGCTCTCATCTGGGCTGCAGCTTTCTGCCCTTTGACATCGCCGGTGGCATCCTCAAACATCTCCAGGACTTTCTTCTCGACAGCCACACGATCACCGGTTGCATAGATCTTCTTCACTTCAGCTTTCTGGTCGTCACGGAGCCATGACAAGTATTTTTCCATGGCTTCCTCGAGATTGTGCTCGTGGTGCTCCCTTCTGAATCGTCGAGCTACTCCATAGATTTCTTGCAAGCCATTGCAGCTCGCTCTGCCTTCGCTTTCTTTTCCTGCATCAGTGATGGCTGCAATGAATTCTTCAACTTTTGCAGCGATCGCTTCGGGGGTGGCACCGCCTTCTTTCATTTCCTTCAGCTTCTCAGCATTTTCCTCGCCAATAGTATCCTTCACGTAGTGCTTGCAGGGCTGCCCATTCGCTAACGTGGCCTTTCTCCTCTCACGGTCTCTGAAGCGCTGTCGTAGATTTCCATTACCCTCTTATACATTGCTTCCTTGTCTCCTGAATCGTGAAGCTTCTTTACTTCCTCCATTTGATCCTCATCGAGCCAGGTGAGGTATTTCTCCTTCGCCTCCTCCCAGCTGTGTTCGTGATCCCTCTTGAAGCGTCTAGCTACACCGTAGACCTTCTTGCAGGCCACTGAAACTCGCTCTGCTTGGGCTTTTTTCTTCTCATCAGTGATGGCAGCGATGAATTCTTCAACTTTGGCGGCGATGGCGTCGTGGCTGGCTCCGCTCTCCTTCAACTTCTTCAGCTCATCAGCTTTCTCCTCACCTACTGTAGCCTTTGACGTAATGTCTACAAGCGGCTTTCAGTTCGACCGTTGCCTTTTCCTTCACGTCTCCAGAAGCGCTGTCGTAGAACTCCATCACCTTCTTATACATCGTTTGCTTATCCCCGGAATCATACAGCCTGTCTATCTCCTTCTTCTGATCCTCATTCATCCAGCTTAGGTACTTCTCCATGGCTTCTTCCAGACTCTGCTCGTGCTGTTGGTCCCTTCTGAAGCGCCGGGTTACACCGAAAATCCTCTTACAAGTATCTGCGAGTCGTTTCGCTTTGGTTTTCTTCGATTCGTCCCCTCGTCGGTCATGGAAGCGATGAATTCCTCCAAATTGGCAGCGATAGTGCTGTGACTTGCTCCACTCTCCTTCATCTCTTTCAATTCATCAGCTTTCTCATCCCCAATTAGAACTCTCATGTAGTACCTACAAGCCGCCTGCATTCCAGCAGTAGCTTTCTCCTTTAAATCCCCAGTAGTACTGTCATAAAGTCCCATCACTTTGCTGTACATGCCTTCGTGGTCCCCGGCTTCATGGAGCTTCTTCACCTCCTCCTTCTGATCATCATCCAGCCAAGATTTCAGGTATTTATCGATAATGTCGTCGATAGAGTCCTCTTTGTGGCCTCTTCTGAAGCGCCGAGCCACGCCATAGATTTTCCGACAGTTGGCAGAAGCCCGAAGCGCTTGAGCCTTCTTCTTATCGTCAGCGATGGCTTCAATCATTTCCTCGACTTTCGTGGCAATTTCATCATTTGAGGCTCCGTTCTCTTTCATATCTCTGATAACCTCTCCATTCTTCTCTCCGATGAGATCCTTCACGTAATGCCTACATGCCCCTTTCAGCTCCATCGCTGCCTTCTTCTTTGTCTCTCCGGTAGCGTCGTCAAAGTACTCCATGATTCTATCATACACTGCACCTCTACCTCCTTCTTCATAGAGCTCCTTGACCTGCTCTTTTTGGTCCTCAGTTAACCATGTGAGATAATTATCCAATGCATGTCCAAGTGTGTGCTCGCGGTGATCTCTTCTGAAACGACGGGCTACGCCAAATATGCGTTTGCAAGCTGCTGACGCCTTCTTTCCTCTCGACTTTGCGCTTTCGTCGGTCAGTCCCTCAATGCGCCCATTCTCGACTTTTTTGGCGATTTCCTCCTCAGGTGTACCGCTCTCCTTCATGGAACGGAATTCGTCAGCTTTCTCATTTCCCAGAATTTCTCTGAGATAGTGCTTGCAAGCCGCTCGCAGCTCCTCTGTAGCCTTTTCCTTCTTTTCTCCAGTGATGCCTTCGAAGTACTCCATGACTTTCTTGTAGATGCCCTCCTTATCTCCGCTCTCTTTCATCGACTTCAATTCTTCCTTCTGCTCGTCGCTTAGCCAAGTGAGGTACTTGGTGAGAGCCTCCTCCAAGGTGACAGGGTGATGGTCCCTTCTGAAACGACGGGCTACGCCAAATATGCGCTTGCAGGCTGCTGACGCCTTCTTTCCTCTCGACTTCGCGCTTTCGTCGGTCAGTCCCTCAATGGCTTCCTCGACTTTTTTGGCGATTTCCTCCTCAGGTGTACCGCTCTCCTTCATGGAACGGAATTCGTCAGCTTTCTCATTTCCCAGAATTTCTCTGAGATAGTGCTTGCAAGCCGCTCGCAGCTCCTCTGTAGCCTTTTCCTTCTTTTCTCCAGTGATGCCTTCGAAGTACTCCATGACTTTCTTGTAGATGCCCTCCTTATCTCCGCTTTCTTTCATCGACTTCAGTTCTTCCTTTTGTTCGTCTGTCAGCCAGGTGAGGTACTTCGTGAGAGCTTCTTCCAGAGTGACAGGGTGGTGATCCCTTCTGAAAAAAAAAAAAAAAAAAAAAAAAAAAAAAAACGACGCGGGATACGCCAAATATGCGCTTGCAGGCTGCTGACGCCTTCTTTCCTCTCGACTTCGCGCTTTCGTCGGTCAGTCCCTCAATAGCTTCCTCGACTTTTTTGGCGATTTCCTCCTCAGGTGTACCGCTCTCCTTCATGGAACGGAATTCGTCAGCTTTCTCATTTCCCAGAATTTCTCTGAGATAGTGCTTGCAAGCCGCTCGCAGCTCCTCTGTAGCCTTTTCCTTCTTTTCTCCAGTGATGCCTTCGAAGTACTCCATGACTTTCTTGTAGATGCCCTCCTTATCTCCGCTTTCTTTCATCGACTTCAGTTCTTCCTTTTGTTCGTCTGTCAGCCAGGTGAGGTACTTCGTGAGAGCTTCTTCCAGAGTGACAGGGTGGTGATCCCTTCTGAAACGACGGGATACGCCAATATGCGGCTTGCAGGCTTGCTGCACGCCTTTCTTTTCCTCTTCCGCCTTTCGCTGCTTTCGGTCGGGTCAGTTCCCTCAATAGCCTTCCTTCGACTTTTTTGTGAGGCGACTTTTCCTCTCAGGGTGCTGCCCTCTCCGTTCATTGCGAACGGAAATTCTGCCCCCGTCAGCTTTCTCATTTCCCAGAATTTCTCTGAGATAGTGCTTGCAAGCCGCTCGCAGCTCCTCTGTAGCCTTTTCCTTCTTTTCTCCAGTGATGCCTTCGAAGTACTCCATGACTTTCTTGTAGATGCCCTCCTTATCTCCGCTCTCTTTCATCGACTTCAATTCTTCCTTCTGCTCGTCGCTTAGCCAAGTGAGGTACTTCGTGAGAGCCTCCTCCAAGGTGACAGGGTGATGGTCTCTTCTGAAACGATGGGCTACGCCGAATATGCGCTTACAAGCCACGGACGCCTTCTTTGCCCTCGATTTCACTTCTTCATCCGTTAGCTCTTCGATGGCTTCTTCAATTTTTCTTGGCAATCTCGCTCATATGCGTACCGCTTTCCTTCATGGCACGGAACTGATCAGCTTTCTCAGCTCCCAAAATCTCCCTGATATAGTGTCTGCAACCGGACTGCAGTTCTTCAGAGGCCTTCTCCTTCTTTTCTCCACTGACACCTTCAAAGTACTCCATAACCTTCTTGTAGATGCCCTCCTTATCTCCGCTCTCTTTGAGAGACTTCAGTTCTTCCTTCTGATCGTCGCTTAACCAGGTGAGGTACTTGGTGAGTGCTTCTTCCAGGGTGACAGGGTGGTGATGGTCCCGACGTCGGCGGGCAGGAGCGTAGATCTTTTTGCACGCCATTGTGAGACGTTTTGCTCTAGCCTTCTCTCCGAGTCGCTCATTATCTTCTTTTCTTTCTCTTTCTTTTTTTTTTTTTTTTTTTTTTTTATTTTTTTTTTTTTTTTTTTCCGCTTTTTCTTCGACAATCTCATCAATTTTCTTCAAAATAGCCTCGTTCGTTGCTCCACTGTCTTTCATCTCCGTTATCATCTTGATTTTGTCCTCTCCCATCAAATCTTCTCCATAATGCTTGCAGGCTGCCTTCAACTCCTCTTTAGCTTTCATTTTCACGTCTCCACTGGAAGCTTCAAACATCTGCATGATCTCTTTGTAGAAGGCTTCTCGATCTCCGCTCTCATACGTTGCTTTGACTTTCGCCTTCTGGTCATCTGTCAACCAGGATAGGTACTTTTGCATGCCCTCCTCGATATTGTGCTCATGGTGGTCTCGACGTCGCCGGGCAGAGCCGTAGATCTTCTTGCATGCCGCTGTGAAACGTTTTGCTTTGGCCTTCTTCTCCGAATCGCTGATTTCTTCGACAATCTCATCAACTTTCTGGGAAATGGCCTCTTGAGTTGCTCCACTGTCTTTCATTTCCGTGATAATCTTCAAGTTATCCTCTCCCATCAGTTCCTTCCCATAATGCTTGCAAGCTGCCTTCAGTTCCTCCTTGGCTTTTGCTTTCACATCACCAGTAGAATCCTCGAACATCTGCATGATTTCTCTGTAGAAGGCTTGTCTATCTCCACTCTCGTAGGTTGCCTTGACTTTCGCTTTCTGGTCATCTGTCATCCAGCGTTAGGAACTTTTGCATGCCTTCTTCGATATTTGCCTGCTCGATGCTGCCGCTCCCGACGTCGCCGGGCAGAGCCGTAGATCTTCTTGCATGCCGCTGTGAAACGTTTTGCTTTGGCCTTCTTCTCCGAATCGCTGATTTCTTCGACAATCTCATCAACTTTCTGGGAAATGGCCTCTTGAGTTGCTCCACTGTCTTTCATTTCCGTGATAATCTTCAAAGTTATCCTCTCCCATCAGTTCCTTCCCGTAATGCTTGCAGGCGGCCTTCAATTCTTCTTTAGCTTAGTGAGATCCACTTTGTTCAATTCCCTGAAATCAGCTTTCCTGTGGATTCGCCGCACATTTGTTTTACTTTCGAAAAAAAAAAGAATTTGAATAACTGAGTACCAGACCTGAGGCAGAATTGGCGTAGTGACAAGTGGCACGCTTGCCACGCGCGCGGTGCGGCGATCTAATCCCGGATCGGCTCCTGCCAAGACCAATCAAGCCTTCTACCCTGCGGGAACTGTAAATTGATACCATATTCCGTGGTGGGGTCGTAGTTCGCCCGAAAATGTGATTTTATAGTTGATTCTACTGTTTCACGCGCGCTATCCACTATGTTGGAAAATTCCCCCTTAAAAAAGTCAACCTCTCCCCGGCGACGAGACGTACCCTTCCTGGTCGCCTTCCCGGGGACTCTAGGACAGCCCACGACCGCGCGCCGTTCGAAGACTGAACCTCGAGGATTGTCGCGGTACGCGACTGTGGCCTCGGGCGCACCCTGCGCCTGGGCTCTGCCGCGCTCTACGGCCAAACCGCGCGCTGCACCGTCAACCAATAGGCGTGTGCCACGTGACGCCAGCCGCTGTGAGCAGAGCCCGTAGATCTTCTTGTCAATGCCGCCTGGAAAGCGTTTTTGCTTTGGCCTTCTTCTCCGAATCGCTGATTTCTTCGACAATCTCATCAACTTTTTGGGAAATGGCCTCTTGAGTTGCTCCACTGTCTTTCATTTCCGTGATAATCTTCAAGTTATCCTCTCCCATCAGTTCCTTCCCGTAATGCTTGCAGGCGGCCTTCAATTCTTCTTTAGCTTTCATTTTCACGTCTCCACTGGAAGCCTCAAACATCTGCATGATCTCTTTGTAGAAGGCTTGTCTATCTCCACTCTCGTAGGTTGCCTTGACTTTCGCTTTCTGGTCATCTGTCATCCAGGTTAGGAACTTTTGCATGCCTTCCTCAATATTGTGCTCATGGTGGTCTCGACGTCGCCGGGCAGAGCCGTAGATCTTCTTGCATGCCGCTGTGAAACGTTTTGCTTTGGCCTTCTTCTCCGAATCGCTGATTTCTTCGACAATCTCATCAACTTTCTGGGAAATGGCCTCTTGAGTTGCTCCACTGTCTTTCATTTCCGTGATAATCTTCAAGTTATCCTCTCCCATCAGTTCCTTCCCATAATGCTTGCAAGCTGCCTTCAGTTCCTCCTTGGCTTTTGCTTTCACATCACCACTAATTCCTCTCGAAGCATCTGCATGATTTCTTTGTAGCAGCTTGTCTAAGTCTCCACTCTCGGGGGTAGGTTGCCTTGACTTTCGCTTTCTGGTCATCTGTCATCCAGGTTAGGAACTTTTGCATGCCTTCTTCGATATTGTGCTCATGGTGGTCACGTCGTCGCCGTCGGGCACTCTAAACATCTGTTTTATTGGCTGTAACGACAGGATAACCGGTGGACGCAGTTCGTCGAGGGCGGGGGGGCATTTTGCACTTTCGCTGGTTCCCATCTTCGTATACGTCGCGTTACAAGATTTGACATTAGCTTCTACACACTGGACTGTATCACCTCATGTTCTTAAGGTTTCATAAATCTCTTTCCTTGCGAATGGGCTCCACACAATAAATGAACGCCAGCGAAAGAGCAAACAGCCCCTCCCTAGCCGAACTGCTCCTATGGTTGTACCTCCTCCAGCTTCCAAACACCGTAGCACACTTCGCGCACGTGCTCGACGGTTTGTCTTCTCTCCTCGTGGTCTTCTTCGAGCTCTGTGATTTTCTTTTTCAGCTCGCCAATGTTTTTCGACTCGTGCATCGCCTTGATACTTTCCATTTCCTCCGGAGTGGCGACCTCTTGACCATGGGGGGGCCGGCGCGAGCATTGCTACCTGAAAATCACAGATTATTACGCCCGCACTGCTGTTTGATCAGTGTCAAGTTAGGGCACATTGTTAGGGATGCCCAACGAAGGGGAGGGGAGGGGTCGTTCTCAATCGCTGGAGGGAGGGAGCGCATTAGTCTCTAGGAAGAATTTCTTCAATAGTCGACTATTTTCGCTTTCTCCTGTTTCACGTACCCCCCCCCTCCTCCTTCCCGTGGTTGGTGAGATGGAGGATGGGGAAGCGAAAGTGGGAGGGAGTAGTAGCAGAGGAAGGTTTTCTGGAAGTGGATGGTGTTATGCAAAAATTTTCCTCAACGGCAGGGCGTATCCCGGTACGAAAAAGTGAAAGTACCTTGAAATTTGCTTTCAATTCATTCTTCTTCTCTTCAGGCAATAGTCCAAAGTACTCCTTCACTTTAGCGATGACATTGTCGAAGTGAGATCCACTTTGTTCAATTCCCTGAAATCAGTTTTTCTGCAATTCGCCGCTAAATTTACTTTGCTACAAAAAAAAGAGTTTGCTAATAACCCAGTACCAAACCGAGGCTCAGAATTTGGGCGTATGAACAAGTGGCAGCTGCTTACCACGCGCGCGTAGCGGGGGGTCTCCTCCGGATCGCGGCTCCCTCCCCGCAGGCCAATCAAGCCTTTCTCCGCGTGAACTGCTAAAACTGATTACTATAATACCGTGGTGCAGTCGTAGTTGCCGGAAAATGTGAATTTGATAGTTGGATTCCACTGTTTCGGCGCGTATCCACTATGTTAAAAATTCCCCCTTGGAAAAGATCAAACTTCTCCCGACGACAAAGACTCGCTCCCTTCCTGGTCGCCTCTCGGGATTCTAGACCCCCTACGACCGCGCGCCGTTCGAAGACTGAACCTCGAAGATTGTCGCGGTACGGCGACTGTGGCCTCGGGCGCACCCTGCGCCTGGGCTCTGCCGCGCTCTACGGCCAAACCGCGCGCTGCACCGTCAACCAATAGGCGTGTGCCACGTGACCAGCCGCGTGCTGCTACTATAAAAGTGCGCCGACGGAGAGGCTCCCGCGCGGAGCTCTCTTGGCGTCCCTTCTCTGCTGGGAGGAGAGTACCCCTCTCCTGCCAGTTGAGAAGGTCGATGCCTGGCTCACGTGGAGTGGAAGCCCGAGTGGCACCAGACGCTGCGAGGGCTGACACTCGCGCAAGCCGGCAGAGTGCCGCCTTACCGCTCTTATCGCTAATGGTATCAATCATGGATCGATGGGTTGGTCGTCCAGAACGGCAGGGATGAGTATAGGATGGGAGATTGGTAATCATTGATTTCTGGCCCCAATAAAAATGTGAGTATTTCAGCATGTTGTGTTTTTGTGTTTGGGCGATAGCAGGGGCGCCAGGGCCGAGGGGCACGAATAAGGCCACTGTAGGTTTGCCTATGTCATGTTGTAATTGTATCGCGTATGTGCGGCCAGCGACCAGGGAACCTTGTCTGATCCTTGTGGCCGGACCAGCGGGTAGGCCAGCGTCTGTGGGGACAGTGCCTACCGCAAGTTCTCCCCCCGCCCAGCACCCCGGGACAGAACCCATTACCCCCTCCGGGATAGGAACCCTGTAGACCCTCGGGGAGCGGAGGCTGCACTGGGGAGAGACCAGTGCGGTCCCCGAGGAGGACCCTAGGATGACGTGAGTTCCTGGTTGGGGCTCACGGGGACTCTGAACCACCTCGATGCGTCGTGTTGAGGGATCAGCAGGGCGATTGCCTCTGAACCACGACAAGGATTTTAGTGGTTAGCGTCGCCGAATGTGTTCGCCCGTGATCCCAGGGGAAAATATAAAAATGGTAGAACTACGCTCAAGGAGAGAAGTAGACTATTGCAAGTTCGCGCTCTGTCCAGAGATGCAATATTTGTAGTTTGTCGACGATGGGCGAAACTAAAGTCGGGAGTTGGACAGCATATTACGACTGTCCTGTCACATACCACTGGTGTCAGCTTCTCCGCCATCCGATCTCACCTTTGGTGCACTTTTTCTACTTTTTCTAGCCTTTTGGTACAAACTAATTTATCACACTACCTCGAGCTCAGTTTTCTGTTCAGGAGTCAACCAGTCGAGGAATTTGTCGATGGCGTGCAAATGACGGCGACGGCGATGATGATGGTGGCCGTGATGGTCATGGTCGCCGTACCAGACTTTTTCGCAGAATGGCAGATTTTTCAGCACCTCTTTCTACAAATAAAGATTTTTTATGAGAAAACTGCAAATATAGTTTAACCAGTTTGTTTAATAGTTGGGAATCAAAAGCGCTGACCTTCTCGGTTTCTGGCAGTCGTTCGATAAACTCGCGAACTTTTTTCTTGCAACCAGCGTGATCGGTTTCATGCATTTTGTGGAGGGCGGCAATCTCTTCTT